CCTTGTAAACGCATTTTTTTAGATTACAAGTGGAGATAACCCCTTAAGACGGTCCCGCAAAATAGCTAATATACCAATGTATCACTCAATATTGCATACTGGTTTCAACTACGTTAAAAAAATGTATTCAAATAATTTTTAAGCTAGAGACTATTGAAATAGTCATAATTACTCGAAAGCCCTTAACTGTTATGTATGAAAAACGACTTTTTAAGCGYGGTGTATAAAAGAAAATTCCGTTAAAAATGTGATTAACCGATGAAAACTTCGCTAGGTCAAAAAAAACACAAAAATAAAAACAAGTTTCTCCAAAAACTATCAAATTACGAAAATAGTTTTCTCACAGCATTTAGTAAAATATTGATTCTAACTCAATGCACAGGATAATTTCATACMAATTCTTTAGCCTAAAATCTTAGAGAAATCAAAGGAAAACTTATAACCGGTTCAACTGTATAGTAGGCAGCAAGTTCAAGTTGTACTTCAATGTCCAGTGTGCACACATTTACGCGACCAACAGCTGCTTGTTGATATTTRCATATGTTTGTATGTATGCCTAAATAAGATTCCTCACATCTTACGCGACACTAAAGGGATGCTGCACTGGGACCGGATATGCGCGCCGGGTGGTGTCAACATATGTTTCACGCCTGGCAAAGGGCAGCATCTCAAGTGGACATTTATTGAGAAATGATGCTTCAGAAGGATCCTGCCTTATAGCAAAATCATGTTAAACGCACATTAATTACCGAATTTGAGTGTCGACGAAGAAGAAGATTCGGAGCTAATTTAGGTGGCAATAAATTGAGTGCACATTTTTCAGCAGCACATTAATGATGGGAAATCAATCAGGTTTCGCAGCAGCAGCAGAGCGGAGAGCGTGAGGAAACCGTTAAATAAAATCTTCAAGCTGTCTGTGTTTCCACGCGGCGGAAAAGTCCACGAATGCGGAAAATCGTAAGAGTTTAAATAAAGTGTGCACATATATGTACACACACATACATGTAATTGTAAATTGAATTTACCCACACGCTCAATTAAATTGCCTATTGATGAGTTGCTATTAATCACCAACACATTTAATGTTTGCACCAAGCTTAATTAAGCAATCAATGTAGCGTGCGCTCATCCTCACAAACACACATGTCCACCAACACCCACTCACACCCACATTTGGGCATTAGACTACAATTTGCGGCTTCGGTGTTGCGATTGTCATGCTCGGCTGTTATATCTAGCGTTAAGGAGGGGGGCTAATGCGGTTCGCCTCAAGCGGTGGTTGGGCTTTTAATTGAACGCCACTCCGCTCGCTTGCTTGTTCATGGGCGTGTGAGAACTTGAACAGATTTTTAACATTAAACTCCTATAAATAAGCGATCAGATGAGAGAGCGGGCGCGAGATGGTGTAGTTGCTGTCTAAGTGTGCATTACATGTCGATTTAAAGTGTGAAGTTGCCAAATTTAATATAAATATAAATCCCCGTTTTTCGGGATTTCGCAAAAGTGAATTCGGGATTCCGAATTTTTTTATTAAAATTTTTTTCTAAACACTATGTATTCGGTTTTCAAGGAAAGGGTATTTTTAAAGTTAGTTCTTAAGATCCCGAAAACGATAATTTGGCGTCCCGAATTTTTTTTTGATATTTAAAGTCTTTTCCAAAAACTTCGTACACTTTTTTCACAGAAAATATATTTCGGGATCCCGAAAATTTTTATTTAATTATTTTTTAACATTTTATTAAACGCTTTGTATACAATTATCAAAGATCGTAATTTTTTTAACGTTAATTTTTAACATTTCGAAAAACGCGATTTCGAGCGAATTCGTTAAWTCTTAAAATACCGAAGAACGAGATATCGAGTGAATTCGGGTACCAAAAAATGTTTGATATAAAAATCTTGGAATCGAGCGAATTCATTAATTCTTTAAATGCCGACAAACGAGATATCGTGAGAATTCGGGTACCAATAAATGTTTGATATAAAAATCTTTTTCCAAAAGCTTTCTATTCATTTGTCACAGAAAAAATATTTTGGGATAACGAATTTTTTCAAATTTTATATCTAAACGTAACGCAAACGGGAACACGAAATCAATTTCATGATTTCCAACACTCTTGTTGGTTTAGAACCCCGAATTACAACATTATCAACATTTCTTAATCATATTAATTGATTATGGTGCAAAACGTGCAAACGGGATCCCGGAATTATATATTCTAATCGCTCATAAATTGGAAATTTTCAAATGCTTTTCACAGTGCAAGTGTTGAAAAAATTTCAGTCTACCATGTAGTASTGGTACATAATACCCATGATTCGGGATACCGAATTACAGCATAATCTCTTRATTTATTTTTTTCTGTACATATTAGTTTATTTTGGCGCAAAACGTGCAATTTATGTTCGAGCACACGCATACATTTTCATTTAAAAGGGGATCCCGAAATTTGATMTTTTTAATTCGGGATCCCGAAAGCGTGCAATGGATTTCTTAATCTTCACTACGCAAGCTATTAATTTGTTGTTGCTGTAAGAGGTTAATTTGTAGCTCACGGCATTGTCTTTTAGTTCACTCGTTTGTTAGTTCGTGCGATTACCGTTGCGCCCGAATGGTATATTTTATTTGCCATAAACACAAATTCGTTACACACAGCAGCGACTTGGCATTTACTACGTACATGCATACATACATATCTTATACAGTATATAGGAGTGTGTAAGCCTACTCATATGAAATCTGCTTTCTGGTCCTGCAGCAACATTCATCTCGTGCATTTTCGTATGCTTAACTCGCTAGCGCAGTGCGATAGATTAGTGTGCTRCGCCGCGATACGAAATCTAAACAGTTTGTGCCTACTCTATTAGAATGTATAATATGTATTTGCATATGTCTGTATTTATTTACGACCTCTCTATATTTTTACTCAGACTCATTTTAGTTAGCCGCTGTTCGGTCTTAAACTATTAGTTACTATTTTATTTGGTTGCACTTTTGTATCCATACTGCTTCGGCACTGCTCGACTAATAAGCCTATAAATGTATGTATGAATATACATATATTATATATAGCCATATGGATGTGTGGTAAACAAGTTGGTCGTGCTTGTAGGTGGATTATGTGGATTATCGRTTACACTGAGTTTGGTTAGCCTTTTTCGTTATTGCTGTGGTTGGTATTAGTACCAACGCTAGTGTGTCTTACATTTATACTATTATAGTCCATGTATGTATGTATGTGCTGTCTCGGTGTGGTTAGCAACGGCTTCACCTTTGCCATTATCCTTTCACATAATCCGTTCATATTGCACCGAAGGTTATATGCTACTGTGGAAATTTCCACGGTCCAATCAAGTGGGCAGCTGCTTTTGAAGGTGAAAATAATTGGCATTCCATTTTTCAGTTCTTGGAATACCGTTAGTATTGTAAAGATAAAAGAAAACTTAAAATATTTTTCAAATTTTGATACTAAAATATGAATGAGAAGCTAAGTAATTTGCATTGTATTCTACGACATGGATTCAGACGACTCGCACCAAAAAACCTGAATCAGAAGCGACATCGAAAATATGTCGCAAAAGAGATATTATATTTGACAACGGACCTGAGSAATCTGTATTCATCAAAATGCATTATTCCTGGTGATAAGACSAGGCTTTATAAATATGACGTCGAAACTGTCCATCAATCTATCGAATGGCATTCCAAAAAATAGACGAGGTACATATGTCTTTAAGGGGTTAYATGGGTTTACGTGCTTCAAAAAATCGATGTTTTTATTGTTTTA